GCTAAACATATTTACTTTGCACAAGTTTGAACCAGAAAATCACTGTTAATTATCTTATTGCACTCTGCTGAGAGCCATGACAATCTACTCAGTAATTTGGGGCTCCCTTGTGAAGTCTCCAGCAAAACATACACTTTAAGTGTGGAGATTTCGGAGGCTAATGCCGTTTTAAGCAAATCCACTAAATACTACCTGTTCTGTGTATACAGACTCTGTGGCTCCAAGAGATGACACTGACGACCAAAGGAGCCGTTGTTCATTTTTTTAATATGCCTGAACCTGACCAAGTGACTAATCATCCTAGTGAAAAAATGAGAGATGCTAATGATGTTTTTTTTCCTTTAAAGATTGTTTTAAAAAATTTTATTAGTGAGATGAATCACTTTTAAGATCTAAAAGAATACTCAAAAAGGTTCTTGTGGCCTGAAAAGAGTAGGTTTCATAGATTCTTAACAGGAAGAAAGAAGTTTGGCTGCATCCAGCATTTCTACAGTGGCTTGATCAAGTAGAAGTTTGTTTTGCTTCCATATCAAAAGTGTAGAGGGAAGCAGCCCAAAGTTGGCACTACAGCTCCATAGCATCATCTATGTCCTAGGCTCTATTTTTCTTCTCACAGTTACCTCATGGTCACAAGATGGCTGCTCATCCTTCTGGCTCGCATTTGTATTCCAAGCAGAAAGAAGAAACAGAGTGATGAAGAAAAAGTGACATCAGAGAAGTAAAACTTCCAGAAATTCATAGCTGGCATTCACTTATGTTTCTTTGGCTAGAACTGTGTCCCATGAACACCTTTAGCTGCAAGAGAGACTGGGAAATAGATTATTTTTTTAATGCTAGACACCTTATTACCTCCAACAAAATAAGGGCTTTCCTATTAAAAAAGAAAAGAGACTGGATTTGTGTAGGCACCTAAGGCAGTCTGCCACAGGACTTGAGATCACTTAATGAAATTCTTTCCCTTCTCCTCTCTCCAGCCTTCACTATTTTGCAATATGCCTGAACCTAACCAGGCGACTAGTGAAGAAAAAACTGAGAGATGCTAATGAGATTTTTCCTTTCAAGATTGCTTTGATTCCTGTCTTATCTCAAAATTTACTGGAATTTTTGTTTAGCTAGAACCAACGGGGCTGACCTACCAAGTGTCATAGAACAGGTGCCCAATGGAAACCTCCATTAGAAAGCAGAAACAGCACCTTATCAGGTAATGATTCAAACACAAAGACAACACAAAGATTCTAAGTAACAGGAGTGGCCCCCCCAGTCTGGCCACTTACTCTCTGCTTCTCCGTGCTCTGCAGTATGTTTATAATAATCATAGGCTCGAATGTGGGGTCCTTGGGCATTTGCAAAGTACAAAAATTGAACATTTAAAAATACTCTGCTCTTTTCATGGTGATTTATTTAAGTAGCTTTGGAATCAGAACACAATATGTTTCTTGTAACATTGCAGCAAATCTGTTCTTAGCAGCTCCTAAGTGAATTAGGACCAATGAAATGCAGATTTCAGTTCAAGGTTAGGATATGGGGGTGGGGAACCGCGGCCTTCTGATTTCAAGATTGTTCTTTTTTAAGCACCAAAGAAGGCAAGAAAAGCCTCATCTTTCCCTGCTGCACCCCTTTTAATACAAGGATTTGTTCTGTCAAATTTGGATTCAATCAAAAGTTAGCACTGGCCGGGCGCGGTGGCTCACGCCTGTAATCCTAGCACTCTCGGAGGCCGAGGCGGGCGGATTGCTCAAGGTCAGGAGTTCGAGACCAGCCTGAGCAAGAGCGAGACCCCCGTCTCTACTAAAAGATAGAAAGAAATGATTTGGACAACTAAATATATAAATATATATATATAGATAGAGAGAGAGAGAGAGAGAGAGAGAGAGAGAGAGAGAGAGAGAAAAATAGCCGGGCATGGTGGCACATGCCTGTAGTCCCAGCTACTTGGGAGGCTGAGGCAGGAGGATTGCTTGAGTCCAGGAGTTTGAGGTTGCTGTGAGCTAGGCTGATGCCACGACACTCACTCTAGCCCGGGCAACAAAGCGAGACTCTGTCTCAACAAGAAAAAAAAAAAAAAAAAGGTAGCACTGAAAGACCTAAAAGGCCACATGCAGCCTTAAGGTCGCAGGTTCCCCACCCCTTCTAGAGATAATGTCAGAGGTACAATCTCAGAAAAGATACTGTGATGTGATTATTAAAATATAATATAGATTGTCAGCATTATCGGTTTTTTTCAACTGGCTTTCTTTTTTTTTTCACTCAAGACGTCAGATAAATCCTTTTCCCTCATGGACTTTGACATTCTCTTCCTTCCTCTTGGAATTCTCATCTTCTCATCCCTCAATTTTTGACACCCTTCAGTTCAAGTGTCTCCTCAGAGAAGATACCTATGACTTATCTACCTGCAGTAGCCACCACTCACTCATCAGTGATTGAGTTTGCTCAGGTTCCCCACAGGACAAGCCATTAGCAAACTAGTAGCAACACATTTTTTCTGATTGACTGATATGTGCCAATTACACTCAGAGCTTCACAGAAGAGACCAGTTAAGCCTTTGCTGCTGTGGTCTGGACTCTGTTTCTAATGGCCCCTGGATAAGTAGAAGGACATGGTCATACACACACACACACACCCCACAGAAACCCCAAACAAGCAAGAATTTTCAGGCAAAATTATCTCTAAATCCAGACTTTTAAAAATGTTTAAACATTATTTGCATGGAGATATATATATGCTGAAAGATACCTTTTTTAGTAATAAATGGAACACAGCATCTCAGTCTGAAGTACCTAAATTTAGGAGATATTAGAGCATTCAGAACTATGGGCAGATAAGTCTGTCCGGAAAATATCCAGCCATGGTTAATATAATAAGAACAGTTACATGGCTGGATACTGTCTGGACAGACCTTGTGTTTTGCATTTAAAAGGAATATCCAACATGGTAACCATTATCCAGATTTCCTTTTATTCTCTTAACGGAGACATAGTTCTTCCCATAAAATCAGTATTCGGTATATTCTTGGTTCAGTGAGCGCACATACACACGTGTGTGTTTCAGGTGGTGTGAATTGTTCTGTAACCTTTGCCTTTTTTCTTAACCACATCTTAAAGAGCTCTATGAGTTGCCTATTAGTTGTCCATTTAGATCTATCCTTATACATGTTCCTTATGCATTACGTGAAGTTTTTTCTGGAGTAGACCCTGAGAAGTCTGGTTTCGGGGCTACAGAGTCTCTGAATTTTTTATTTTAGTATAAACTGCTCTCCAAAGCAGCTGAATGATTGCACTCCCATCAGCAGGATATAATGCTAATTGTTTCTTCTTGCACCCTTTAACATTTGACATAACGTTTTTTGCAATCTGATAAATTAATAATGACATTTTTTCCTAGCCTTATAAAAAAGTCCAGTCTCCACCAAAAATAAATGGGCAGGTATCACAGCATACATATATGGTGTGATATCATTCATAGATGTTTATTCAGACTTTCTCTTCACATTATTATAAACTTTGTGTTTTTTAAATTATTTTATTATAATGAGCACTTAAACACAAATCACGTTTCTAACCTTTAATCAATATCCTAAACACCAGTTTCAGTAATGAATTAAAAAATGAAAACATGTATACTAAGTCAAGATTTCAAGAAGTTCACAAACTACCCGCATTCTTTTTGTTTCTTAACATCCTGGATATTTTTGTATGAGATCTGGGAATCTGAGTCGGTAGTTAGGATATTTGAGAGAATGAGGGAAAGTGACTAGAAATTATTGATTAGAGGCAAAGTTACAGAGCAAAGAGGAGATCAAACCAATCATTTCTCCCCGTTGTTGAGAATTTTTGATTCAGAGAGGGAAACAAATTTAACCTTTTATGCATCTAACAAATAGTTATCCTCTACTTATGGCAGGCACTGGGTATATGTGTGAGTGAGATAATTATTTGCTCCCAAACAGCATTCCATCCAGTAGAAAAGGCATGGACAAATAACAAGCAAGCAAATAATTACCAAATGATGAAGACTTTGAAGGAAACACACCGGGTGCTGACATGGACAAAAGTAGGGATATGTAATTGTGCTTCAGTTTCAGAAAGGCCTGGCTGAGACCTGAAACTCAAAAAGATATTCTCCATGAAAAATCAGGGAGAAAGCAATCCAGACACAGATGATAGCATTTCTACATGCTGTAAATTGTGATAGACCAAGAGAACCCAGTGAGGAGGGTGGCAATAGAACCAGGTGAGGTAGGATAAAGGGACACAGGGGTAGGTACAGGTATCGATAGCTTTGCAGAGTAAGTTAAGAGAAAATGAGAGTGGGCCAAGCTTGCAGGTGCAGCAGTGGTTGGAGCAGAGGAGAGAAGTTTCATAGAGCCAACACGCTGCTCTCTGCTGCACCTGTCAGACTAGAGAAAGCATTGCTTAGTGCAGAACATGCCTCTATAATGATATTGAGGGCAGTGAGATGTTGCCTACTATTATAAATGTGTGAACCTGTTTTGAATAAAATATATACATCTTATTTCATTTCTGGCATATTGGGAGTTCTTAATAAATGTTTGTTGAAATGAAATTTATCTGTTAAATTAAATTCTCCCCAAATATTTCCCATTTCCCTTCTCACATTAACTGTCTTTTCCACTTAATATGTTGTCTTCTATTATATTAATAGTACGTTTTGTTTTTTATAAGTTGACACAGGTATTTTTTAAGGTAAAACTTGTACCCAAATTTTTAAAAATTATCAGAGCAATGACGTGAATATCAGTGTTAAAATAGAGATTGAATTGTCTTTGGAATTTATATTGACCCCCTAATTCAGCCTACTAATGAAAGTAGCTATTAATACTTTTAGCACAAATAACTATTGATAAATCAATGGCCCAAGAAGGGTAAACAATAGTTGGTCCCTTTATCCTTAAAGGCTATTTGGCACAGAAAATCTCATTTTTTAAATGTTTTACTACGGGTCAGGTTAATGACAACCTAATGTCTATCATTTTAATGCAGGATTGTGGTTTGCTGATTCACCCAGAGGAAACCTGTGGATTACAACCTATTTCTTCTGACTACATCGAAGCCATTTCACAGTCTGAGCTAAAGAGTTGTCCATCTGGGGACATAAAAGGTGACTATCACACTGGGTGTCACATCTCTCAAAAAAACCTCTTTAGATAAATATGTGCATAAACTACCCTTGTACCAAAAATCAAGAACATTACTTTTTTCATTACTATGAACTACAACACATATAATTAATTTAAATCCATTGTTTCAATATTCGAAATACTTTGATTAATTTAATTCTTTTTTCACCCTCTCTTCTTTTCCTAGTTTATCAATATTCACCTACAGATCTCAGCTCAAAAGTCACTCTCACCAGAGAGCCTTCCATAAGCCTCTGATTTGTTTTCTTACCGCATATTTCATAAAACTCTACTTTTCTTACATAGCAGTTATCACAATTGTTGAAATAATTGTGTAATTCATTATTTAATGTCGGTCTTCCCAGGATGTCAGCATCATGAGGCCAGGGAGTCTGACTTGTTCTCATTATGTTCACTCATTTGGCACCATAATTTGTACATAGTAGGTAGAAAATAAATATCTGTTATGAACAAAGGAACTGCAAAGGGTACAAGTTCAGTTTTAATGATTTCTTTTTATTTTAAAACGTCTTTGGGAATGATCACTAATGTCTCACATATGTTCACCATTAATAGAGGCAGAGAAATTGTGACATCAAATTTATATTACAGTGTTAAGTCCTGCCTAAGCCTTGAGCACACCTGGAATGAGGCACTTCTTTGGTGCCTCTCTCCTCATTCCCTGTTTCTCTCCTTCCGGCCAAAGCTGGGACTAAGAATGCCTTCAAAGCAATTAGAGGAGCAAGGAGTGTGTTGTCCAAGCTTCCCGGTTGTTGCTCTGTTCTCCTGACCCCAGGTTTCCCTTCATCTAAAAAGTCTGAGAAAACGCTCATGAGCTTTTCTACCCTTGCCATGAACTTCACACCACAGCTTGAATGGAAAATGAGTTTCCCAAATGGGCAGGACAAATTGCAATTTGGCACACACAGTTAACAAACGTGGGCACGTCCCCATTCTTGAACATGTGTTCTAAATAATAAATTACAGTCAGTGCATAGGGAGGGATTTACCCATTATGGTGTGTCAGGTGGTGTGATTTGTGATCCCCTGCTAAATGAGATACATACGTTTACATACAAAGGAGACACCGATGTGTCCAGTTAAATTTTTTTATCAGATGACAATTTACGACAATCATAAAACAATTCTATTCCCCCCACTACACCAAGTTAAAAGTTCTTCAAGAAAAAGTTCAAGATACATTACTGGGATTCCTCAAGAAGCAGCAGCTTGATCTGTCCATTAAATGTGTGCTAACTTACGTCAGGCTCTGTTACAAAGCTATCTCTGTGCCTGGACCTTGCCAGAGAGGCTGCCAAAAAACAGCGGCCTTCTGGTACTTGAGTAGCTAGGCCCCTTTAGAGAAGCCCCCCAAATTGACTCACAAATCAAGCCCATGCTCCTCAGCCTCTATAATCTGGCCCCTTCCTGCCTTTCCCACCCCCTTCCAGCCTCTTTGCCTCACTCTATGGTGATAATGCTGCTTTAGAACTCCAGCTATTTGTCCACAGTGTTTCCTATGCCTACAAGTCCTCTTTCTGTCTTTGCCTAACTTCTGGTGCTGTATCTTTCTCTGCAGGAAGCCTTTCTGCACCACCAGATTCCCAGTGTAGCTTCTCTGTGTTCCCAGAGCATCCTGGACATATCTCTACAATAGCACTTACCACATTATGTTAATTTATTTATATGTTTCTTTCTCTTACTCTGATCAGTGGTCTCCAAAGTGAAATGATGTGCCCCAGGATGGGGAGGGAGTGGCACAGGGAAATCCATAGGGCGAAGCCAGGGAAGATTAAAATATATGTGCATTTATTTTTTTACCTAATAATTGTATTTTTATGTTTTATAATGGACATAATATACAAATATAGGAGTATCTGTGCATATATTACAGTGTACACGTATTAATGATGATGGCTTCCCTAGATTGTGTGTTCCTCCAGAGAAGAGATTGAGCCTTATTCATTTTCCAGTGTCTAATATGTGATTTTAAAGTGGTTGCTGAACTAAAATCAAGACGCAGTGCTCCTCCCTTTCACAGAAGACTGTGAAGGGCCAGGACACAATCACCACAACCAACTGCTCCACCCTTGAACTGCTAAAGCCCCAAAGACTCAAAGTTATTGAGCGAGGTCAGGACGACAGTTTGCAAGACGGTATCATTCGCTGCCAGAGATGGTTTCCTTCCCTAACAGCAGGATTCCCTCCTCTTCAAAGTTGTCATGGTAGACAACATTGGAAGGAAGTTTATTTAGGAGCTCTGGGTTTAGTGTATAAGGCCAAACACACACTGGTTCCAAAATCTTATTTTAACAGCATATTACAGTTATTTGGCAAAAGTGGATGCTTTTTTCTTTTTAACCTTGTTGATACAATGATGTCAAAATGTCTTTTTCAATAACACCAGCTAATATACTCTTGAATGACTGCATTGTTTTAATTCTTAAATTGATTTCTATCCTTTAGGAAATAATTTAACTGCAAGACATAACCTAGAATTAAATTTTTTGCTTAAGAAAGAGAAAGTAATTATTCGAATTTGGAGAGAGAAGAAATTTATACAGTGATCATTGAATGAGAATTAACATTAGGGAAAATAGTTCAGATTGCATTTTATGATATATAAATAATGAAAAGATTTACTACTTTTTTCAAGGAAATATGACAACTTATACTTTAACACTTCCAATATTGAAAATATAGATGTATTTTTTCTTCTTAAATAAAAACCACTTTATATTATAACATTATAGAGCTAGGACTCAGTACTAACATTTACATGATTTTATGTATCACTTCAATCCTAAATCAGAGTTGAACTTTTTTTTGTCCATTGTATCACCCAATCTGATTCACTTAAATAGATGAAATCCAATTTTCATTAAATGTAGAGCTATAATTATAAATCAAATAACTTCTTCTAAAAGACATTATCATTCCTCGGAATGTTATTCTCTAAAACTCATCATGTTTTATATCAGAAATCACAGCTTTGATTCATTCAGTGTTCATATACATAACATAGAATTTATGGCCCCTTTTTTGGACAGTTTTAGTTAAGAGCTGGTATTATTTAAAATGTCATGAATCCCAGTCCCACAGATGTTATACAGATGCCTATTTCAAGCAGTTACTAACTTACAATAAATAAAAGGCATTGTTAACCAATACTAAAATGCAAAGAGTTATGACTGCATACTGCATAAATATGGAGTAGTATGAACTATTGAGGCCAAGTTTTGAGAGATCCAATCAGGCCTCCTTTTTATGTGGATGCAATTTTATGCCCACAAACTAATTGCACTCATATTTGAATCTTTGTGCATGCCACTCGTTTCTTCATCCTTAACAGCAAGTGGTCGAAAAGGGTCTGTCTCCGTTTGTGCAAAATTAGCTGTCAGCAAGGTTGAGGGGTAGAGAGTGTGGGGAGTGGGGGTGGGATGCATATGCTCTTAGATTCTCAGGGATCTGAAGAAAATGTGGCCTTTCAAAAGATTATCAAATATAATCTCATTAGCAGAAACACATTTATGCCCTCAACATACCATGGTGCTATTAGAAAGAAAATTAACAATCTTTGTTTAAACACAGTCTCTGTCAACACATGAACTCACTGAGTAAATTCGGCTTTTTAAAATGAAGATAAATTCATTATAAGACCAGTTTGTGGGTTTTCCTATAAGTGTTACCAAAGAGGCTGTTGGGCTATATTTCATTTTCAGCCGATGATTTTGTGCTGACCTATCCTGACACGATAAAAATATGAGCAAATTGGAGACTCAGAGACTTCACTTCTGTTATTTTAACTCTTTGAGCCTCAATTTCCTTCTTCTCTAAAACAAGAGGGTAGAAAAGAGGAGCTAAAAGACCCCCTCTAACTCTGTCCGAGGTGGTGCTATAAACCCACTCAAGTGGACCTCTGTGAAGGAAGACTCTAACTTTTTTCTAAGGAGGTTTTCTTGAGGAATTTATCACCAAAGGTTAAACTTTTAGGCTGTGTCTAAATCAAACAGCATTAGAAGAAGCCAGGCAAAGATATGAAAGAGGTTGATTATTGATTACAAACCACGCATGCCAGGGCGAATTAGAATTAGAAAGCAAGCTATATTCTGAATGACAAAGACAGAGGAATTATTAAAAGAGAATGGATGGAAAAATAAGTACTTTTGAGGATAGTCTTTAGTTTGCCATTCAAAAACCAGCACCTCTCCTGAATTTTCTGTGTGGTTTCTTTTAGTAGTACTGCCATTCTCTGTATCTGGAAACTTTAGAAACAACTTTCATCTGGAAGGTGCTCTTTTTCTTCAATAATGCAGTTTAAGTAGAGGCCAGTCAGTTCTTTAGTTTCATTCCTGACAGGCTCATCTCTTCACTGTTCCCAAAGTACCATCCCTTTGCTTCCATGTCTTCAAGTCTTATCTACCCATAAAGACCTGTTCACATTTTATCTGCTCCATAGAACCTTCCAGAAAACTCTAACCTCCATGACTGTCTCTTTATTCTGAACTACCACAGCTTACTTGGGGTGGAGGTGGGAAGATACATAAAATACAGACATCAACTCTTATGTATCAGGCAGTATAGCTGGTGCTACACATAATTTTCTTATAGAGAAGTAAATTTAATCATGAAAAGATTCATTTGTCCAATTTAAACAGTGGGTCTCAACCTTGGCTACATATTAGAATCACCTGAAAAGCATTAAAAACTACTAATGCCTGAGTCCTAGCCCCACTGATTCTGATTTAATCAGTCTGGGGTACAACCTGGGCTTGGGGAATTTAACAAGTTTTCCAGGTGACTGTAATACGCAGTCTGTTGAGGTCCACAGGGCTCGTTAAAGGTAGAGCCCAGGTGTGTGTGATCTCCAAAGCCCAGGCTCTTTCACAACCACACAGATAATTTTCTCATTTATGCATGACCTGTTATTGTGCTATAATTATTTTACAAGTAAAAATTATAATCCTCTAACTTGATTATAAATTTTTGAGGTTTAGCATTATATTTAAGAACATGGATTCTGGAGCTGACTGCCCCACTCAGATCCTGGTTCTACCACCTCCTAGGTGAAGGA